ATTCTGCATATTTGACTGATTTATGACGTGCAACTTACGTTCTGTCTGTCCGCTGCAACTCCTGTTGCAGTAGATCTTCACGCGATCGCGCACCTTATACAGGCTCCTCACGGCGCCGGGGATGGAAACACTGGGACAGGCGATACGCCGACACTGAGGATGAGTTTCAACAAAACTCGTAATTAAGGGGCTGACGTAGATGGGATAGCCGATGGGCTGGTCACAACTCGAGTTGATTAGATTACGCAGAACGTGCTTCGCGTGCTGAATACTGCCACGTTCGGGATTGTTGTTGCGCAGAAATATTTGTTCTCTTTGTTGACCGGCCCAGAAACCTCGGACACACTCGGTATTCAGCTACATGGGATAAAAATGGAAAGGTTTAGGGTCATTACAAAAGAAAATGACGACAGAAGGAGTCTGGTCCCTCGACAGACTCGTAAAGTTGGTTTGAGTATCTTAAAGTAAAACTAACAAGCCTCAAAGTTAGATAAAGGTGCTAAATACGTCTCCAGGGTAATCCAAGTCACAATTAATCGTTTGAACACAGGGTTATGATAACCAGCTAAGTAAAAAAGCAGTCGAAGGATATAATAGGGACGCAGGGTTTAGTTGCCCGCACACCCTTCTCTCAACGCAGTTCATTAAACCGCTAGCAAATAAATGGCGAGCAAGTTAATTTATGCAAGTAAATGCAGTTTATTTTCCTGTCTGAGCCTTACACACTTATTCCGTAGGTTTTCTCAGTTTGAAGTGCCAACAAGACATGCGAAATGGAAAAATTTATCAGGATACAAAGAATTCAAAGTATTTGAGTCAGCCAGCAATGAAAAAAGTGGAACCTTATTAAATGATTGGCGGAATAGTATAATTGCAGTAGTTGAAAGCTTTAACTGAAGCATAAATCCGACTTAAAAGTGAAGAACATGAGTTTGTAAAAAGACCAGTGCCAGACGGATTACCGCCAAAGACAAGCAGGACTTGAATGACCATTTCTGACTTATTAAACATCGTCAGCCAGCCATACCTAAGTCCAGCTTTTGCAACCACGGAGGGTAGAACTCGATATCCATAGGTTTATCCTGTCTATTCTACTATTCGCCTTGCAGATGTTGGCAGGTTTCAAGAGTGAGTACCAAGACACAACTGGAGGAGTATGTTCCGTAAAGCGATCGGTGAGCACCTGTCTAACGTTGTTAAAAAAAACTTATTGTTCGTATATTAAGAGCATAAATTAATATGGGTTTCCCTAAGTGGTAGTGGTCCTTGAGCTACAGCGTAAGAGGAAAAGTTCAACATCACATCTGCTTCGAATGATTAAGTGAAATAGAGTGGAGCCTCGGTTCCGGCACCAAACTCTTCATGTCAAACACTCGGGCTGCAAAGCGAAGCCTATTACTGATTGACTGCAGGCGGACAAGGACCCACACCCTAGGATCAAGACATAGCGGCAGACACAGGCACACATACACACTAAGAGCTCTTTAACTGAGCGGAAGCTCGTCAATCGAAACAAATTTTCTGCTAATGGCTCGCTCGTTATCTGAAATACTCGTAGATGGGGCTGCTCTTTATCTGAAGCTCCACTGTGGGCAAATTTAAAACAAACTCAACCTGTCGACCAATATATCGTCTAGTCTGACGGGTAAGTAAATCAGGTCGCCGTAAATAATGTAGAACGGACAGGTTTAAGAAAGTCCCAGTCCCGCAAATATCAGTCTTCGGGGACGGGTGAAATGCCTCCATCTTGATCTAATTAACGCCAAACTCCTTTGCGAACTCTGCTCCTCCATCAGTGCGCCTGCGAGCTTTCCAAAAATAACTCCACTTTTCAATCGAGTCTTTTGTATGTCAAGTCACATAGTAACTTGAGTCACAGAAAAGCGTTCATCTGCCCAGTCAATTGCTGTGCAGAGACGACAAACTGCGCACACGAAACACAGGACAACAAGATAGCAACCACGTTAAATTGGAATATTGGCTAAGAAACTGCCAGGGAGTTCTGCTACAGGTCCCCTTGGCAAATCCGTTGCACACAATAAGAAGGATGTCACATGTTTCGCAACTTACTAGGTAGAAAAGGGTGAATGAACGATTTTCAAAAGTAGTTCAGATTCAAAATAACATAGAGCACGGGGTGCATACCGAGGATTTACACGGCCCTATTTTGAGAATTAAGACATAGCTCACTCGGAGAGAATTAATTAAATGCGCACGGTTAAGTAACAAACGACTCCTTACACTAATGAACAGGAGACATGTTTACCTTAATAACCTGAAAGTTGAGCATTTGCTTGGTCATCATAATAAAACGGTAGCATTGTTGAGTTGTTCCACTATCAATGCGTCGAAAAGAAAACAACTTGTCCGCATCGTTCAAAACGGCGGAGCGCCACTGAGGGTCGGTTTCGTGGCAGATGACGACGGTTTGAGTGGTGGTTTGGATGGCCGAATAGAGTTCCCCGTTAGTTGATAGCGGATTCCAGGTGAAATGGTCCTGTGAATGCAAAGTATCGTGTTAGTTTCAACTAAGGGATATCAACCATAACATAAGCAGGAGCCTAAATAGCGATGACTTAGCCTTACATAATTATTGATGGCATCTGTGCATGCTAGACAGTCACATACTCTAATACAGATGATAACGGACCTGATATAGCTTAAGGGCCACTCGCATTGCAGGAGTAACAACCAACTTGAGAATATCCACGTCTCTGAACACCCAGTCATCTTTTGAGGCGACCTGCACGTCACCCTTGAAAACATCGTGAAGATAGTGCAGGAAGGTTTCCAGACTGAAAAGGAGAAAACAGTTCTCA